ATAACTAAGTTTTGCACAGATTTGAAAAAGCCATTTAAAGACAATGCTAAAATTCAAAATCCATGTTGTACACTCAGTTCCCAAACGTCTTTAAAAGTGTTTAAAATTTCAATGCTGTGGATTTTAAGATTTATAAATGCTGACAATAGCCAGGAGTATAAATCATAAGGAAAAATGATTTGTTGAAGTGGGGGAATTATATCACTGGGGAAAAATCAAGCATACTCTTCTAACTCATTTGCATCTCTCACAAAAGACTTTAGTGCACAAAAAAAAATTTCCTCTGAAAAAGTCTGTTGATTTATATGACTCAATCTCACTTAAAGCAAAATGAAAGTCACTGCCAGATTTATTGCTTCCTGGAAGTTTGTTATATAGACATCTGCAATGTCTTTGTGTATTTTCATAAAATTTAAAACAGATCATTTTTCCCAACATTCTGATCTGTTCCATACCTCAATATTGAGTCACCCTTACAAGTCTTCCTCATTTCTGAAAACTGTATGTGTAGAATTCACAGAAATGTGCATATAAAATTCTCCATTACGCCCTATGGAGTCTCAGTGCTGCTCGCAGAAATATTTACTATGTTATTTCCTTTTGACAAACCAAGACCTAATATGGCCTTTGATCATTATCTGCAAAAATTTGTCCATTGTTCCTATTATCAAATAATTTTCAGTGTTAATTTATCATATATCACTTGTCTATATTAACTCTAGAATCTATGTTAATTGTTAGTGTTTGCACATTAAGGTGTCATTGCATTCCACATTGACCCACCAACGTATGGCTGTGTCCCTCTTATGTTAGAATGTATATGTTTATAGATAGAAGACAAATGAATAAATAACCTCTTTAGCAAAGGTTGAAGAAATTTTGACTCAGGATATATGTATTTTTCACCAAAATTTAAGTCTCTTGGTAAAAGAAACAGTTTTTTTTTTTTTTTTTTTTTTTTTTTTTTTTGTATTCTTCTTTTTTATCGGTACCAGGGATCGAACTCAAGACTGTCTGCTTGCAAGGCAGGCCCTTATGCCGCTGAGCTAAATCCCCAGCCCCCCCCCTTTTTTTTTTAATGAGGAATTTCTGGATCATTAGAAAGTTGCACTACTCTTTGTGCCTGTGCACCTGAAACTCTGGTCCACAACACTGTCTCACACTATACCTATGAGAACACTCAACTCAACTAAGTAAAGAAGACTCTTATTTTTTATAGCCTCATTTTTGTCTTACACTTAACAGACATAACTGCTGTAAAGAGGTCATGCATTTATTTAAAATAAATGTCCGTGTTTATTGGGAATAAATTTTAAAAATATAATTACTAAGATTAATTTTAATGATTTCATTAGACTTAGCTATCTTGTCATAAAGATCATTGAAAGAGGAAAGGAAAACAGATGACACTTAATACTATGGGAACAAGGGAAGCCTACTACATCAGTTATTCTGTGTAATCATGGTTTGTGAAAGGACTTCTCAGGCCTGTAGTGTTGGTGCATTTCCAGAGAATAGACATCTATATTTCTGAAACTTTACATTCACTCATGTAGTGCATAATTCACTGACTGTACCTGAACAGATGACTCCTGCATTTTCCTGGTAGTTGCGAAAGGACTTTACCCAGCCAAAGGAATAACATTTGTTCATATGGGTCTCCTCTCCTGTACAGGTCACCATCCTCATCACGTTGCGCCCTTTTCCAGGCCCAAAGTAAGAACCCAGTGTAACACTGAGTACTTCTCCACAGCCCAGCTGGCTGCACACCACTTGACCAGCCTTCTCGTCCCAACCTGCTTCAGATATGGTGCCCCAGAAACCCTGGAGAAGAATCTCCACTCTTCCTTCACAGCGATGACGCCCATCCACCAGGCGGATCTGTGTGATCTCTGAGGACAGAAAACAATGTCAAAATTTGCAATCATAAAGGGAATCACACTGGTTTTCTTGTCTGGTGCGAAAAATTCACACAGGAACTGTGTACAATGAATATTCAGTCTACAGAGCCTGCTCCTTCACACAAGGAATCTTTCCACAAAGGTAGTGGATGGTATGGATCCTTGCAAAATTAAACATTCAGAAAGTGTTAGTATGATTGTAAAATAAGAAATAAAATTGAACTGGAAATAATTCACTATTTCCAAGTTGCCACTGTTAAAATTCCTACCAAACTTAAGCTTCTTTTCCTACAGTTGTGTGTAGATTTTGAGGAAAAGTATGCTGGAAATGACACAATAACCCCTACCCTGAATAGATCATGTATTTCAATGATTGAGGACTTATTGACACTAAATTGGTTTACATCTCAACTGATTTCCTATAAACCATTTTAATGGCATAGACCTGAGAATTAGGAAGATAAAAATACAGGAATTGAAGTCAGGAATTTAGCTGAGCTCATCATAATCCTCAGGTAGCAGCCCAGCATCTTAGACATGTCACAGTTGTTTTTGGTGGTGCAGTTATTAAGTGTTTAAAATCAGTGAATCATGATGGAGACTATGGTTCATACAACAAAATTTTACTAATGGGTTGAGATGTCAAATTCTAGTTCTGGATTATTTTCAAAAATTTTTCTGTTTCTGAATAGATTGGGCAGTCTCAAATAAGGAAAAATATTAAATGATAATGACTCTCGCCAGATTTCATGAAAAACAATAAAATGTAACTGCTTTCACAAATACACTTACTGTCTGTTTGCCTTTGTATCCACAGTTGTTAGTACTCAAGATTGGAATTTCTTATTTTCTGGTGGGAAATTGTTTCTAAACTTAACTTAGTTCAGAGCTAGGCTATATTATTCTTGCCAGAGCACTTGATAAACAAAAGCATGTCAGTGTCCCTCCGTTATTTTCTTCTTTATACATGAAAGGAGAGGTTAAGTAATGCCCGTCCATACTACAATTTAAGCAGATTATGGGATAGAAAATAAAACCATGGATGTCTTCCTACGAAGGATGGAAGAACTCACAAGGCACCAGTGCTCCTACTAGTTATAGCTAAAATTTTGAAAGTGTAAAACAACTAAAATTATTAGATGTCTGTGTACCAAATAGAGCCTGAGTATGTTAAAATACCATATAGTGGCTGGGAGGATTACTCTGACAGATCTTTGCCTAGTATGCACGACAATCTGGGTTCAATCTCTAACATATCAGTAACAAATCAAAGTATAAAATTTTAAAGAGGAGGGATCATTTAAACCAATGCTTTACAGATTAGTTTTCTTGAAGATTAGCTCCATAGTTTAGTTCTCATGCTAACAACTCAAAATCTAGGCTTCCAGAAATATGTCTTAAAGATATTCCTTGTGTTTAGGACAAAAGAAAATTTGGGACTACATTGAACTGACTTATAAAATTTGGGATCTGAAATCCTCTGTCTTATCTTAGTGCAGGTTTTCTCATATAATGCTTTCTTGACATAGAAACTGTGGAAGCAACCAGGCCAAAACTAAGGTCCAACACACTAGAAGAAGAGTAGATACTTTGTTATTGTCTTCAGTACTAGACAACAGAATCATTCAATATCTACAAAGAAATTCCTGGAAACCCAGCTCTTAGGAAGAGAGAGAAACCAGAGATCAACTTATTGCACTGAGAACTATAACCCCAAGTTGTTCCTGATCAGCTCTATTTGGGTTTAAATATCTGATTAATCAGCACACTTTCTACATCCTGTATAGCACACTCTCTACATCGTGCATAGGAGAATCAAAGATAAATCTTTTCAAGTGTTAGGAAATATATCTACTTTTACTCAAATTTCATATAAAATTTTAGTACTCAATGAGAAAACAGGCATTATCTACAGATAGCATATTATATGACATACCAATTAAACAAAATAAAAAAAATACAAAAAAACCCAAAACCATCCTTAATAAAGAAGTTGACGTTAGCAGGAAAGAAGTGTCTTAGTTTGTTTTCAGAGACAAAATACTTGAAACCAAAAACAAAAGAGGAAAAGTTTGCTTGGGTGATGGTTTTTAGAAGTTTTATTGCACAGTCAGCTGTCTCTAAGGCAGGGTGGCCCATGGGAGAGGGGAAAGAATTCATGGGTCAAAAGGCAGAAAAGCAACAAGGAAAGGGAAGGCAGTCTCTTTCTGTTCCTTATATTAAATGAGGGCTAGTGGGCATGTAGCACTCACAACCTTAGTCCTAGCCAAAGCTAAACCAATCCACTCAATAGGTTTAAACACTGATCACTTACCCTTACACCCAGCAGCACTCACTCTAATTCAGCCTCCTCTGTAAATTTCCTATCTAAGGTGACATGAGAAGGCCAGTAATATAGATCAATGGCACAGCACCTGCCTAATAAGAATAAGGTCATGAATTCAAATCTATGTACCAAAAAAAAAAAAAAAAAATGGAATGTATGAGGCTTTATGGGGACATCTAGACAGAAATCATAACAAGAACTTTAAATATGAATTTGGAAAAGAAATGATATGGGAAGAACAAATTGTTTAAAAGATGGAAAAAAACACTTTAACACCAAATTGTTAAAATAAATAAAAGAAATAGGATCCAATGGACAATAAATTGTTTAGCAGTAAAAATTAAAAATAGTTTTGAAAAGATTTTAGACACAATTGAAGACAGAATTACTGATTGAAAACTAAAGTGAAAATATTTTACACAAAAGACACTCAAACACAAAGATTTTTAGAAAGACATTTCATCACAAGAAACAATTGAGATGTATAAAAACTTTTAAATGCAAAATAGGTCTCTTTGAAAGCAGATGGAGGACTGAATAGGAAATGCAGGGACAAGATAGGAGAAGGAGACTGCAAGGCTGAGTGTGGGGGGAAGTAGCAGAGGTGAGGGAGGGAGAGGGGAGAAAAGGAGAGGAGAGGGGAAGAAGAAAAGAGGAGAGGAGAGGAGTGGAGAGGAGAAGAAGACAATAGAAGAGGGGAGAGGAGAAGAGAGGAGAGGAAGTTTGAAGAACTGCAGACTGCAGGGAGGTGAAATTCCTGCTGTGAGTCTCACCTTCACAGACAACCTCAACAGCCTTGCTGTGCTGGCAGCTGCCTCCAGGACAGGGCCCTCTGGGACACAAGCTGAGCTCAGGCTCCTGCCCCTCACACTGGAACTCCTCAGCCCACATCTGTTCACTGGCATTTCTGGACACGTTCCCCAGAACAGACACAGCCTTGCCACACCTCAGCTCTGCACAGATGACCTGGGCAGTGGGGAATGTGAAGTTCACATCAGACACTAGAAGCCAACCTCTTCTAGAATGCACTTCCACTCGTCCTGAGCAAAGTCCTTGTCTTCCACCCAGACGCACAAATCCTGAGGAAGAAAAAACAAAACAGCACAGTGAGTTTTATGACTCCGGTTTAGAATCTGCAAGAGATTATGTGGTAGAGCTGGTGTCGCCCTGGGCTGGATCTTGGGAATTAGGAGAAGTTGGTTCTTAAGGGGTGTTAACGTTAAACTCACGTGAGGGAGGGCTTGACAATTCTTCAGGAACTTGCAAGATCATTGCAAAATTTATGGCCACTGAATTTGCTTCAATTAAGAAACAGATTAGGCTTATCATTTTCATTGTATCAGTTCCAAAATCTTCAATGCCTAAGTTATAATGACAACTATGTGGACAGTTGTAAATCCATGAAAAAATTTCAATATTTTTGAACTTCATGAATGCAGTAAGAGACTAAGGTAGAAATCAGATTATTGACAGTAATATGATCAAGGTATTAAAAACACACTTCCCAACAGAAGACGGAAAGAATAGTGAAGAACTAGACTGGAATTAATTAAACTGTTTGAGACTTTGTCTTTCTTTGCTGTTTCTTTTTAATTTTTTGAGATTATTTAACTTATTTAATTAAATTAACTTATTTAATTTTTTTAGAGTATTTTGTTCCTATGAAGTAAAATTTTAAGAAACCAAGAGACTTCTAGGGATGATGATCTGGAGGGAATTTCAACAATGCATTCAAAAATCTTGGGGGAAATGTGACTATAAGCATGAACTCTAGCAAGAACTGTTAAATAATAATGAGTAATTGTAATGAAGAGCTATATCAACATCTGACTTTCTCAAGAGAGAGGCATATTTAGCAGCATTTTGTTGTTGAACAAGCAAGCAAAATGGGATGAACAGCAAATATATTCATCTATTTTTTTTTTAATAGTATCTTAGCATGTTCCAATTGGACAGGCTGAAATTTCTCAGAGTTGCTTAGGAAACTGTCTAGGTTTCAAAGTGTCTTTATAAGTTCATTTAAATTCATATTATGATAAGAACACAATATTGGAGATATATATATATATATATATATATATATATATATATATAGAAAAATAAGGATAAAATTGCAAAACTATCTACAGTTTTATAGCTTTTAAGAGTATGAGACCTATGGCCACGTTATGAAGAGAAATAGTGAGGATTGTACTCTCCACTCCCAAGCCGAGCAGAACTCAGAGCAGCTGTATGCTCTACCTGTGGCTGCAGCCACCACCTCCCTGGAAGCTCTGTTTCCACTCAGGTCCACCTGCACACTAGAGGGAAACAGTACCACCAGCTAGGTCATCAAACATGCAGGACCTGACTCAAAGTGTGTGACTTAAGAGGACAGTCAAGCCTGATTTAAATCTCCACATTTTATTTGCATTTTTTCCATGGTAAATTATGGTTTTCATTTTCACAAGAATTTTGTGGGATGATTCATTTCTGAAGTAATAGTACATATCTCTTTCTTTCTTTCTCTCTCTCTTTCTTTCTTTCTTTCTTTCTTTCTTTCTTTCTTTCTTTCTTTCTTTCTTCTTTCAATATGAATTTGGGATTGATCCCAGGGCCTCTATACTCAGTTACACACAATATCCCTTATTTTAATATATTTTTCAATTTTTTTTTATTTTACAAACAAAGCAAGAATGATAGATCTCATGCAGAATTTCAAAAACAGAATAGGAAATTAACACTACTTAATATATTTGACATTGTTATCTTAGAGGTAGTTATTCAGGTTACAAGATTTAGACATGAAAAATGATCTCTATAAGTTCATCAAAAAGAACAGTTTGCATTTTATTTTATTATTTTATGTTATTTTGACATAGGGTCTCACTAAGTTGCCCAGGCTGAGCTTGAATTTCAGAACCTATTGTGATATCTGATTACTGGCCCTACATTTGAACTTTAACTTTAACACAGACATATAGTCTGCATTTGCAGAAACTGTGAAATTTAACTTAGGTCTAGAGAATTCCAAGATAGAATAAAAGAGCATAAAGTATTCACATTTTTGCTTCATTTTTCATCTCTTTTCTTTCTTGCTTAATCTTGGGGGCATATTTCAGGTTAATCCTGCCAGATTCTTATCAAATGGTTCCTAATATTCTACTATTGCCTTAAACATGGTGCAATGAATGCAAGCTTCTCTTTGGACTTGTTTTCCTATGGCTCATCTTTCACTCTGTCAGCCTGGATTCCAGAAATAACAAGTCTAATAAATATATGCTTTATAATAAGTGTTAAAGTAACCCAGTGCCAACAATTATATTTTATTTCTAGCTAGGCCGTGTTTGACAAAACTCTGATTATGATCAACTAGATGTAAGTTGAACACAGAATCAACTAGATATAAGTTGAAAAAGGCCATATTATTATTACTATTTGTCTTTTTGACACAGGATCTTACTATACAGTTCAGGCTGGCCTTGGGCTCAGTTTGTAGCCCAGGCTGGTGTTGAACTTGCAAGGGTTTTCCTGACTCAGCCTTTTGAGTGCTGGGATTACAGAAGTCCAACATGACGTCAGCAAGGCAGTGTAATAGTACATACTACTTTCCTTCTACTTTTCTTCACTCTATATACAACCCAAATCTCTTGTTAGCTCCTTGAATTCAGAGCTAAGGATGCTTTCACCTATTCTTTCCTGGTATGGATATTGTGGATATACTCATTTCTTACTTAGTTAAATTTCTCATTTTTGAGACAAAAATACCTGACACCCAAAGTTCACAGTATAATTCAGGAATCAATTATCATGACTTTTTTGTGCAACGGCTTATATGTTGTGAGAAAAAATCAAAGGTAGCCTTTTAAGCCATGTGGAAAATTCAAGGGAACTTTTGTTGGCCAGAAAAGAAATACTTCCTCTGCAGATGGCTATTGATATACACGAATCAGTTACATTTGAGATAAAATGAAAAATGCAGTGAAAGGTATCTTTATCTGGTCTAGGTTGCATTGGTACCCTTAGTCAAGTGTATCAAAAATGTCATCCTTTGAATCTTGTCTCAATCCTAAGTTGCTCCTATGATTCATTCTTTTTTACATGTAGATGTAGTAAGTTCACACAAATGTAAATATGATATTTTTCCATACTTCTCCTGGGAATCCAGTGCAACTCATAAATTCCTCACATGCTTTTTTATAGTCCCTTTATACCTTAATACAAATAATTTAAGCTTCTCCATCTTCTTCAATAATTCCAATTGCCTCTCATTTTCATTATTGTTAAAGAAACTCCTGAATTTCCTTATTTTTCTGAAGCCATTGTGGATTAACTATGTTGTATTTTCTCATAATGAACACATATTAAGACTCTCTTATGTCCCAGTATTGTGTGACCTGGCAGTATATAACTAAGTTTTTGTCACAAATTGGTGTACTATACAAATGATTTTGACAGAAAAATGTAGAGGAAAATGTTTTTTAATACTGATGAAAGAATTTATACTTTGGTGTCTTTTATTTATAGATCATTCTAGCCAAAGAAGCATTCTAGCCAAACCATGAATCCAGCTTAAGACTCAACCGGAAAAAGAGACTTGTAAACTTGCAGTAATAGGTAAAGTCCTTTGTGTCTGTTTAACCCTGTCCTGCTTGTTGCACATCTATTTACTATAAAAAAATTTGTTGTGCTATGCACACAGAAGCTTGCATTCCCAGCAGCTAATGTTCAGTCTCATTCTTATCCCCCTTTCTACGAGCCTTACTGATAATGAGGGAATGTGTGGTAATTTGCAGATATTTTCAATTATGTGTTAGTTATAGAATCCCATACACAATTATATAGGTGGATTGTATTTGGAAAAATAATATAATCAATAATTGTGTCAGATAAAACCACTGAACTGGGAATAGACATTTGAGAATTAATGCTAGGGAACCTAAAAGACCATCATCAGCTGCTGTAAGTACTTGAGCTTTATGGATGGACCTCTCAGTCTCTACATCCCACCCATCTCCTATTACCATGATCAGAAAACTACATTCTTGGCACTCTCCATTCTCTCACACATTAAGTACAGACCATACCTGAGCAGACGACTCCTGCATCTGGTAGACCACTGCAGTTGTATTGACCCCAGCTCCAGGAAGGGCAATGCCACAAATGGGTCTCGTCTCCCATACAGCCTGGTTCTTTCAGCAAAATGGATTGTGGTCCAGGTTCAAAGAGAGTATTGTAAGTATAGGAGATGGCAGTTCCGCAGCCAAGCTGCCTGCAAACCACATTGGCATCATTCTTATCCCAATTTGTATCACAGATTGTGGCCCAGGAACTCTGGTAAAGAATCTCCACTCTTCCTAAACAACGATAGCCACCATCCATCAGGCGGAGATGCAGGCTTTCTGAGAAAGGAGAATCATATCGATGTGGAACTTATAGAGGACATCCAGTTGCTTTTTTGGTCTGTTTGGAAACACTGAACCAAGCAGTTAGTACACTCTGCATTCAGGGTTAACCATAACCTCAAAGAAAAAGTCAACAAGCAGAATTTTCTGAAATGGTAGCCGTGAGAATAGCAAAACAGATAAGTAAGTCTCAAAAAAAGAAATCCCACAGGAGCTGGAGATTTAGCTCAGTGTCATAAGCACCTGCCTTCCAAGCAGGAGGTCCTGAGTTTGATCCCTTGTAACGATTAAAAAATAAATAAATAAATAAATAAATAAACAAATAATTGCACAGACGATTATAGAGATAATGCCACAATGAAGGAAACAGTGAATCTGGAGTAGATACAGATTTAAAAATAACAGAGAAGCTTAGGAAAATATGCAACTCATAAAACCCAACAGAAAAACAAACTGAATTCCACAGTACAGGTTCAGGTAGAAGAGATTGAGGATTCTCTTTAAGGTATATAGAGCAGAGTAAAACAATGCAAAGATAGAATATCAGATTTAGAAGACAGGGTTCTGGCTGCTGTTCATAAAATAACGACTTTTTAAAATTAAGAAAGTGTCGTGAAATATCAATACAAGTATTTCCAGATGATGCAAAGAAGGATAATATAAGACTTAATAAATTCAGTAAAGAATCAAAAGAT